AAAATAATATATATATATATATATATATATATATATATATATTTCTACAGGCGTTAAGTTTTCAAGAAGCTTTTTTAGAAAACCGTAAATTCGAAAGTAAAAGCCTCGCAATATCGGTTACAGACTTCGCGTAGACGCGATTTGGATATTCTTGGCGCGGGTTAACGCTTCCTTAAGAAGATTAGCGAATCGAAGGCGTAATATCGGGCGTACTCGCGTGCTATACGAGATATGGCGTCACATCCCGGGTCTCGCGCTCGCACGACGCGGGCAGGGCGCGCGTCAAAGGAGCGAGTCGTCGCGCGCTTGCGCGCACGCTAAACGCCCGGTAATCGCATGACCGTCGTGCGTGCGCCCGGCTCCTCCGGAACGGAGCGATACGCGCTCGCCCGACAACGTCGATGGATCACAGGATCCGAGCGTGATCTAATTTCGTCAGGTTCTCGCCACGAAACGCCACGATTTTCCTCTCCTCCCGCTCCGGACCCGATCCTCGACGAACGAAACGAGCGTTTCGATCGCGGCGATCTATAAACGCGCCCGATCTAAAAAGCTCTCCGAGCTTCTGCCGTTTCGAATTTTACATGTCGCGATATACAAGAGCTTTTATGTTCCGCGGCGGACGCGGCAACCCCCCTCGGGACGCGGGATATAAAGATACGCGAGAGCTATTAAAAAAGAAAGAGGAATCGTGAAAAAACACGTCGGCGCGGCCGGCGGCGGACGCCGATGCGCGCGTGTGTGTCGTTAATCAGAAAATTTAATTTTCGTGACCCCGTTCCTAAAGTGGACGATCGAGTGGCTTGCCCTATTTACGCGGTGCGCATGAGCGCGACGCTCTCCCCGTCTTTCTCGCTCTCCGTCTCTCCCCCTGCGCCGACGGGATAGATGATACGGGGTAGGGGGAGGGAAAGCTTCACCTCGTCACGCGTTGCATCCCAATTCGAGAGCGCGTTGGTAGAACGCCGGCTCCGTCACCGGAGAATCCAGCCGCGCCTCCTTTAACCCCGTTTCGCGCCTCTCGCCCCTTCCACCTTCGCTGGAAAAGCTCGCTCCTCGCGACAGAAAAGTCATGGAGGTGACAACGCGGGGCAAATTCTAAAATGTATCTCAGCGAGTTTATTTCCTCCGTCGGAAAATGTACTCGTACTTTGATAAATCGTATTTTAAGATAGCTGAGATCTTTATCGCATCTCGGAATCTCTCCTTCCAATCTCAATCATTTTCCCTTACAACCCCCCGTTTCAAATTGATTAATAACTTTTGTATCGTACTTTTCGAGAAAATGTAAAAATGTCCAATTTTGTTTTTCTTCTTTTAAGAAATGGCACATTTTTATTTTTAAAAACACAATAATTTTTATTATGTTATTAACAATTCGAAGTTGTAATATTAACGATTAAAGACATGATAATATATTTGTGAAATAGTATTTAATGTTTCAACACTGTTAAATTAGGGATTTTTTAGAGCAATGTCATATGCTATCGAGTTACCAATATCGTTATCATCGTGCCAAACGCAGTGAATTTACGGAGCCGGGCCAAGGAACGTCTCGCCACAGACTCGAGACGGTAAAATTGAAAGTCGATAAGCGGACGGGTTAACGAGTGGGTTAACAGAGGGAAACGCTTCTCGGTGTCGTTGACGTCACACGATGCCGTACACGATGCGCGATCCGTCAATTTTCTCTACGGAGCCCCGGCTTGAATTACGTGCCATCTCGTCGCATCCATTTTTATACGCTCTCGGAATTCGCGGTGCAAGTATACCGCGGTAAATGCCCCTTAGCACGAGAAGAATATAACCGTTGACTAAAAAAAAGTTTTCAACAATTAGCGTAATCAATTCACTCTACGTTTATCTACGTGCTTTAACAAAATCGCTTCCAGCACGCGGCATAACGCGATTTATCATGCGAAAATTATATTTGTTGTAAATTTGATTCGTGTAACAAATTAGCCCGCTATTAATCGTTTTTTGATGAGATCGACGCGACGCTTGCTGATACGCTTGAGAGGAAAAGCTCAATGTCGACCCATAGATTAACGAAATCCCCTCCCGTAATCCCCATTTATAACGAGTGATACTCGGTAAACCTTAACAACATCCGAGACTTGTACATCCACCCATCGGAATTTCACACGGAAGGGAGGGGGGAGACTTTTCCTATCCCTCGAGTAATATACGTAATATACCATTACGCTCGGTGAAGCGTGCCGGAGGAATACACGTAGTACGCGATACCGCTATACGTGGGCGCGGTGAAGATTCGTAATGAGAGGCACTGTGCCCGGCGGCAATGCGACGTGCGTGCGTGCGTGCGAGCGTGCGAGCGTGCGTGCGAG